AAAAAAAAAAAAGAAATGTCAGCTGTGTCCTAAGGTGTCTTGGAATTTGTATTTGTAACTTGCTACACACACTAGGAGACATGTACAAGAATATTCATAGCTGGGCTGAGCACGGTGGCTCACACCTGCAACCCTAGCACTCTGGGAGGCTGAGGCAGGAGGACTGCCTGAGCTCACGAGTTCACGACCAGCCTGAGCCAGAGCAAGACCTCATCTCTAAAAATAGCTGGGCTGGGTGGTTCCTGTGGTTCAGTGACTAGGGTGTCAGCCCCATAAACCGAGGGTGGTGAGTTCATACCCAGCCCCGGACAAACTGCAACACAAAAAATTAAAAAAAAAAAAAAACTTAAAAAAAAAATAGCCGGGCTGGCTGGGTGCCAGTACATAGCTCAGTGGTTAGGGCACCAACCACATGCTCCGGGGCTGGTGGGTTCAAACCCCAGCCCTACTAGAAAAAAAAAAAAAAAAGCCAGGCATTGTGGCAGGCGCCTATAGTCCCCAGCAACTAGGGCAGCTGAGGTAAGAGACTAGCTTGAACTCAAGAGTTTGAGGTTGTTGTAAGCTGTGATGCCACAGCACTCTGCCGAGGGTGACAAAGTAAAACTTTGTCTCAGTAGCTGGGGGTTGTGGTGCTTGTAGTCTCAGCTACTTGGGAGGCTAAGGCAAGAGACTCCCTTAACCCCAAGAATATTAGGTTGCTGTGAGCTGTGATACCAAGGCACTCTACTCAGATGAAATGAAACTCTGTCTCAAAAAGAAGAATATTCAGAGCAGCTTGTCTATAATAGCTACAACCCAGAAAACAACACAATATCCATTGGCAGTATCATTACAAACAAATGGCAGTCACTCGTGCGGTGAAATACTATACAGCAGGGAAAAGGAAAGAAGTACAGCTATGCTTATATGCCTGACAACACATAAAACCCTTACACATTATTTTGAGCAAAAGAAGCCAGACACAAAAGAACACATAGCATGATTTCATTCATAAATTCCAAACCAAAGTTGATAGAATGTTTCCACTGGTGCTACAATTATAAAGAAAGGTAAAGATCCTTACAAAAGATAAGAGAGTAGTTTATCCCATCCGGTGGAAGGAGGGGAAACGATTGGGATAAGACTCTCAGCAGGCTGTCAATATTCTATTTCTTTCTTGTACCCTCAATGAATCCCCAACAATACAAAAATATATATTCTTCTTCTTCTTTTTTTTTTTGAGACAGAGTTTCACTTTGTCACCCTTGGTACAGTGTCACAGCTCACAGCAATCTCCAGCTCTTGGGCTTAGGTGATTCTCCTGCCTCAGCCTCCCAAGTAGGTGGGACTATAGGCACCCTCCACAATGCCTGGCAAATATTCTATTTATTGACCTGGGTGGGTAGGTAGAAGTGATTTTTTCCATTTTTTTTTTTTTTTGAGACAGTCTTAAGCTGTCTCCCTGGGCAGAATTCCGTTCTATCACAGCTCACAGCAACTTCCAACTCCTTGGGCTCAAGTGATCCTGTTGCCTCAGTTTTTCTATTTTTAGTAGCGATGGGATCTCACTCTTGCTCAGACTGGTCTAGAACTCAAGCAATCCACCTGCCTCGGCCTCCCAGAATGCTAGATTACAGGTGTAAGCCACCACAACCAGCCTTTCCAATCTCTTTATTAAACTATACTATAATGTATACACAGTTAAGCACACAAGTTGATAGATTTTCCTAAACTAAACATACCTATATAAACAGCACCCAGCTCAAGAAATAAAATATCTCTAATACCCCAGAGCCTCCTTTTAGTCTCCTTGTGGTCACTACTCTGCCTTCTAACAGAATAGGTTGGTTTTGTCTGCTTCTATGCTTTTTATAAATGAAATCACAGAAGATAAACTCCAATATTCCCTTTTTATGTTTTTTTTTGTTTGTGTGTTTGTTTTTTGAGACAGAGCCTCAAACTGTCGCCCTGGCTAGAGTGCCATAGTGTCACAGCTCACAGTAACCTTAAACTCTTGGACTTAAGCTATTCTCTTGCCTCATCCTCCCAAGTAGCCTGGATTAAAGGCCCCCACCACAATGCCTGGCTATTTTGTTGTGTTGTTGTTGTTGTTGCAGTTATCATTGTTGTTTTAGCTGGTCAGGGCTGAGTTTGAACCCACCAGCCTCGGTGTATGTGGCCGGCACCCTACCCACTGAGCTATGGGCGCCACGCCCTTTTTATGTTTTTATAAATTTTTTTTTCTTTTTGAGACAGAGCCTCAAGCTGTCGCCCTGGGTAGAGTGCTGTGGCATCACAGCTCACAGCAACCTCCAACTCCTGGGCTCAAGCGATTCTCCTGCCTCCGCCTCCCAAATAGCTGGGACTACAGGCGCCCGCCACAATGCCTGGCTATTTTTGGTTGCAGCCATCACTGTTGTTTGGTGGGCCCGGGCTGGATTTGAACCTGCCAGCTCAGGTATATGTGGGTAGTGCCTTAGCCATTTAAGCCACAGGCGCTGAGCCTATTTTTTTTTTTTTGAGACACAGTCTCACTTTGTCCCCCTGGGTACAGTGCCATGATGTCACAGCTCACAGCAACTTCAAATTCTTGGGCTCAAGTGATCCTCTTGCCTCAGCTTCCCAAGTAACTAGGACTACAGAAGCCCATCATGATGCCTATTTTTTTTTTTTTTAAGAGACAGGGTCTCTATTGCTCTGCTGGTCTCAAACTCCACCTGCCTCAGCCTCCCAGAGTGCTAGAATTATAGGCATGAGCCACTGTGCCCAGCCCTAAATTGCTCTTAGTACCACACAATTATGTTTTTATGTATCTTGCTAAATGTACAATAAATCCCAAAATGTTTCAAAGCCACCAACTAATCCCTGTGCTCTACTAATCCTAAAATACAGAGTTTGAGAAGAATATGGTGATAAGGCTAATGATAGTAACAGTTAACAATTTTGAGAACTATGCTTATAATTTTACATGCTGTAATCTCCTTAATCTCTGGGAGTATTGTCATCTCCATTTTACGGATGAGAAAACCAAGGCTCTGAGGGCCTACATGAGAGATCTGGGACTTCACAATTCAAGTTCTTCACAGCTAAGCTATGCAGTGAGGAGCTAAGAGAGAGTGAAGAAGCAGGCAGGACCTGAGCAGGCCCCAGCCCCACCCGCCACGTTCCCCAGAGTACAGCTGTTCCTGCCAGTGACCTGTTCCTCCCTCCCCTATCCTGTCTGCCCCCACCAAGGCCATACCTCAAAAAGGGCAGAGGGGAGGGAAGGCCCTTAAAAGAAGCCCATAGACTCACCCATAGTCACTGAGACCATTGTCTCTTTGGCCTTGATGCTGCTCTCTGAATCCTGGAAGAGAGAAAGAGAAGACAGGGCCCCATGAGTCTCAGCCGGCTGTGAGTGTAAGTCCCTCTCCCGGTGCCTTGTCAGTCTGCCCTCCAAAGGAGCATTCCTGGGCTGGGGGCTCATTGCCCAGGAATAGCCTGGAGCAGCTGGCAGGAAGTCAGCCTGAAACAGAGCCACCACAACTATCATTTGTGCCTGGGACAAGGCCCAGGGACAGCAAATGTCCACAGCTCCATTTCCACATGGCCCCAAAGGTCAGCTGGAATAGAAGTGGGGCAGAAAGATGACACCTCCCACCTACCACTTGAACCATAAATACCCATTCTTTCATCCATTCAAATGCTATTGACTAAGAACCTACTATATATGAAGCACTTATGGATACTGAGGTAAACAAGAACATAGAACTTGGCCTTTTGTTGGGGTCAGGGGAGTAAAAACAGAGTAAACAAGCAAAATAGTTAACAATATAGGGTATTGGGAAGCCTTCGGGGAAAATACAGAAGACCCCAGAAGAGAGGGGTTGCAATTTTCATTAAGGTAATCAGCAAAGATCTAAACTGACATTTAGAGACCTAAAGAAGGGAAGGAATGAGCCCTGTGGTCTTACAGAGGAAGTGTCCCAGAAGGCACAGCATGTCCAGGGTCCTTAGCCAGGAGCACATCTGGCACATGTGAGGGACAGCAAGGAGCCAATGTGACTGCAATGGAGTAAGAACGGAGAAATAGGAGGTGGCAGGTCAGAGAGCTGGGGTACCAGATCATAAGGGGCCCCAGAGAAGGAAGGTAAAACAAGCTTTCACTTAGAAAAGATCAGCAGGGCAGCGCCTGTGGCTCAAAAGGGTAGGGTGCCAGGCCCATATGCCAGAGGTGGCGGGTTTAAATCCAGCCCCAGCCAAAAACTGCAAAAAATAAAATAAATAAATAAAAATACATTAAGAAAAGATCAGCAGATGGTAGAAGGTGGTATTAAAGATGTATTAGCACCGGCTCGGCGCCTGTGGCTCAAGCGGCTAAGTCGCCAGCCACATACACCTAAGGTGGCGGGTTCGAATCCCCAGCCCGGACCCGCCAAACAACAATGACGGCTGCAACCAAAGAATAGCCGGGCGTTGTGGCGGGCGCCTGTGGTCCCAGCTACTTGGGAGGCTGAGGCAGGAGACTCGCTTGAGCCCAGGAGTTGGAGGTTGCTGTGAGCTGTAATGCCATGGCACTCTACCCAGGGGAACAGCTTGAGGCTCTGTCTCAAAAAAAAAAAAAGATGTATTAGCACCAATGGAGACTTTCTTCTTTTTTTTGAGACAGTCTCAAGCTGTCCCCCTGGGTGGAGTGCCGTGGCATCACAGCTCACAGCAGCCTCCAACTCCTGGGCTCAGGCAAGTCTCCTGCTTCAGCCTCCCAAGTAGCTGGGACCACAGGTGCTCGCCACAATGCCCGGCTATTTTTTGGTTGCAGCCATCGTTGTTTGGCTGGCCCGGCTAGATTTGAACCTGCCACCTTAGGTGTATGTGGCTGGTGCCTTAGCCACTTGAGCCACAGGCACCGAGCCAATGGAGACTTTCTTGACAGGGAACTAAAGGAAACAACTTTCTCACGTGCTGATTCAATGATGTCTGACTCCTGGACCACTTGGCCCACGCTGCCCTGGCCCAAACTCCCTTCCCATTCAGCCTTCCTCCTCTCCCCAGCCCAGCTCCTCTCTTCTGCCCTCTCCCCTCACTCTGCTCCTTTCTACCCATTCTAGCCCCAATCCTGACCCTCTCCTTCACCCCTCCTCCACCCCTTCCATGGAGTACAGGGGACCCTCAGCACCTTTCTGTTTACCATCACATAGGATCTGCCACACCTCTTGCCAATTTAACGGTTTAACTGACCAGTCAAGAGTAAGAACCTGGGACCGGGCCAGGCACAGTGGCTCATGCCTGTTAATACTAGCACTCTGGGAGGCTGAGGCCAGAGTCTATAAAAAAAATTAAAAAATAACTCTGCAGCCAGACTGCAGGTTCAAATCTGCTCTACCACTTACTAGCTGTGTGGCCTTGGCAAGCTACTTCAACAGGCAAGCCTTGGTGTCCCCACCTGTGAATTGGGATGGTACAAACATCACCTACCTTAGAAGACCACTGTGAGAGTTAGATGAGTTACTCTGTACAAAGGCACCCAAGACAGGGCTTGGTGTACACTAAGAATTCTGGAGGTACTGTGTGTGGTCTCAGTCCCCAGGCTTCCCACCCCAACCCTCCCTCCCCAGGGACGTTACCTGGAATGCCTCCCAGTTTTTACCGTGGATGTCACCTGGAATGCCTATCTCCTGCTGTCCTCCTGGCAAGCTCTCCTTCCCTCTACTTGGTTGCCAGTTGCTTGTGAAGCTTTCCCTAAGGCCCCACATGTGAAACTCTCTCCTTTATCCTCAGAGAGGTTCACCTTGTCCATCTCTGCCTTCTGGTGACCCTCTTATTTTTATTTATTTATTTATTTGAGACAGAGCCTTAAGCTATCACCCTGGGTAGAGTGCCATGGCATCATAGCTCACAGCAACCTCCAACTCCTGGGCTCAAGTGATTCTCCTGCCTCCACCACCCAAGTAGCTGGGACTACAGGCACCTGCCACAATGCCCAGCTATTTTTTGGTTGCAGTCATCACTGTTGTTTGGCAGGCCCAGGCTGGATTCGAACCCGCCAGCTCAGGTGTATTTGGCTGGCGCCTTAGCCACTTGAGCCACAGGTGCCAAGCCTGGTGACCCTCTTATTGATGAACATGACCACAGACATCACTACACCCTATACCTGACACTCTTAGATCCACTTTCTCTTACAGATCTTACCACTGGACAAAACACAAGCAGCAAGCCAGAGTGCGGTGGCTCACACCCATAATCCTAGCACTCTGGGAGGCTGAGATAGGCAGATTGGATTGCTTGAGCTCAGGAATGAGACCAACCTGAGCAAGAGCGAGACACCATCTCAAAAAAAAAAAAAAAAAAAAAAAAGAGAAGAGAAGAAAACTAGCTGAGAGCAGTGGCTCACGTCTATAATTCTAGCATTCTGGGAGACCAAGGCAGGTGGATTGCTTGAGCTCAAGAGTTCAAGACCAGCCCAAGCAAGAGCAAGACCCTGTCTCTATTAAAAATAGAAAAACTAGCCTTAGGTGGTGGTGAACGCCTGTAGTCCCAAGCTGAGGAAAGATCCCTTAAGTTTGAGTTGCTGTGTGCACAGCACTCTACCTAGGGCAACAGAGTGAGACTGTCTCAAAAAAAAAAAAAAAAAAAAAAAACAAAGAAGAAGAAGAAAGAAAAAGAAAGAACAACATCTTAGATACCAAGTACTAATTATGCACCAGGATCAGGGCCAAGCATCTGATGCCTCATGACAACCTCACGGGTAAAGGCTATTATTAGCCCCATTTCAATTGATGAAAACCTAACTTACTAAGGTACAGTCATTTGCCAAATGGCAAGTCTAGCAATTGACCTCACTACAATTCAAAAACAAGTTCTCCCTGATACCAAAGCCCCTGTAGTGGTTCTTGTTGAGTGTTTACTACATGCCAGGAACAACCACCCTGGGGAAAAAGTAAAAATAAGTCCCATGTTACAGATGAGAGTGGCATGTTTAATGTCTTATAGCAAGTAATAGCAGGGCCAACACTTGAACCCAACTCAGTCCAATGGCTATGGTTAATGCTCATCAAGGAATTACTACAAGCCATGCCCTGTGATCCATCTTTGCAAAACCCAGTCAGTATTCTTGTACTGTACCAGAATTCTTTTTTTTTTTTTTGAGACAGAGCCTCAAGCTGACACTCTGGGTAGAGTGCCGTGGCATCACAGCTCATAGCAACCTCCAAGTCCTGGGCTCAAGTGATTCTCCTGCCTCTGCCTCCCAAGTAGCTGGGACTACAGGTGCCTGCGACAAAGCCCGGCTATTTTTTTTTTTTTTTGGTTGCAGCGGTCATTGTTGTTTGGTGGGCCTGGGCTGGATTCAAACCTGCCAGCTCAGGTGTATGTGGCTGGTGCCTTAGCTGCTTGAGTCACAGGCGCTGAGCCAGAATTCTTTAAGTATTGGTATTTTCCCTTTATTATTGCAAAATTCCCTGCTGGACTCAATTTCTTCTCTCCACAATCCTTCCAAATAGTGAAAATTATAATGATAAATGGCGTGTTAAGCCCTTAGAAGACTTAGATCCAGGACAGACGTGGTGGTGCTCACAGGTTCAAGATCAGCCTGAGCCAGAGTAAGACCTTGTCTCTACAAAAAAATAGAAAAAACCTGAAGCAAGAGGATTGCTTGAGCCCGAGTTGGAGGTTGCTATGAGCTATGATGTTGCCATGGCACTCCACCAGGGCAACAGCTTGAGATTCTGTCTCAAAAAATAAAAAAAGACTTAGATCTAATTCCCAATTTTACCACTTCCTAATCCTGATTCTGGACAAGTAGCTTAACCTTGTTAACATCACTTCCCTTACCTATACCAGTATAAGAATAACAGGAGTAGGCTTGGCCCCTGTGGCTCAAGCAGCTAAGGCGCCAGCCACATACACCTAAAGGTGGCGGGTTCGAATCTAGCCCGGGCCCGCCAAACAACAATAATGGCTGCAACCAAAAAATAGCCAGGCGTTGTGGCGGGCGCCTGTGGTCCCAGCTACTTGGGAGGCTGAGGCAGGAGACTTGCTTGAGCCCAGGAATTGGAGGTTGCTGTGAGCAGTGAAGCCATAGCACTCTACCCAGCGGGACAGCTTGAGGCTCTGTCTCAAAAAAAAAAAAAAAGAAGAATAACAAGAGTACCTGTTCTTAAAGGTGTTATAGAGATTAAATGAGTTAATAAATTCAGAACCCTTAAACAATGCTCTTGCATTACAAAAAACAAATCTTCAGTGAGGAATAGGGTGGGATAGTCAATGATCTAGTGTCATTCATATGCAAAGTTTGATTGGAAACCAATTATAAGACAATTGATGGGGTCCACAGGATCTAACACCATGGAATCACGTACTATAGGTTATTTCCATTGTATTCTAGGTTAAGTTTTCCTTCCTTTTTTTTTTTGAGACAGAGTCTCAAACTCTCACCCCGGGTAGAATGCCACAGTATCACAGCTAACAGCAACTCCTGGGGTTCAGCGATTCTCCTGCCTTAGCCTCCCAAGTAGCTAGGACTACAGGCACCTGCCACAACTCCTGGCTATTTTTTGTTGCAGTTGTTATTGTTGTTTTAGCTGGCCCAGGCCAGCCTTGGTGTATGTGGCTGGCACCATAACTACCGTGTTTCCCTGAAAATAAGACCTACCCAGGAAATAAGCTCTAGCAGGATTTCTATGCGTTTGTTAAATATAAGCTCTACCCTGATAATAAGACCTAGTGATGGGCGTGACTATGCAGTGTATCTGCATAGCCAAGCTATGCATTTTGATGTGGAGTGGTAAGGAAGACTGGAATACCTTTTTATCTGTCACAGCTCCTTTCTCTGAGCTGTTCACACTTGCGCGGGTGCGTGTGTGGTAACCGAAGTTGCAAGCATCCTATTGCGCACGTGCAAATGGCTAGTTCATGCATCACTAGCACCAGCCCCACCAACAAGGTCGGCTCCCTCTGTCAGGTTCCAGAAGATGACTTAACTGTATTTGAATAAATATAGATTGTTGTATTATACTTAATAAAAATAAGACATCCCCTGAAAATAAGCCCTAGTGT